ACCCGTATGCTTTCGCGTGCTGGCGGTGTCTGCTAGACTGCGGCTTGCTCCATGCTCAACCAGGCAGTGCCCTCAGGGCAATGCAGGCACATCACGGCCCCCCCAGGCTTTCCTCATCAAGGACCAAGAAGCTTGTTCACAGGCGCAAGGCGTTTGCGGGGCATGCATCCGGTGCACAATTTTTCAGATCACGCAGCCGCTCTCGGCCTTGTGCCATCCTGGCGCCATCAGGCACCACACTCATAGTCCAATCCTGCAGCAATAAGCTCCAGAGCCAGCATGTGCCAGCAGAGTGAGAAAGTGATCCGTAGTTTGCCCACTAGAACCTAGACTTCAATCCCTGGAGCTTCGTAAAGCTTCTCTCCACCCCTAAACCCTACGAAGAAACGCGCCGACCACAAGGTACAACCTGTCAGATCGGCTGAGTCAGCTCCACGGGGGGGCGAGAGAGGGGTTGGGGCCAGCGTACCAAAGCCACATGCGCCTCATGTTGAGCGGCAGTCGCGGACTTGTCCAGCATGCTGGCAGGAGCGGTCTGCCAAAAAGCTGCTCTATTGAAGCTAAGCCAGCGCTCCTCGTGACCTGGTCGGTGTTGGCACGAGCCTGCTGCATGTGCACGTTGTCGACAATCGCGCTTGCGGCACATGATCTGATGGCAGCAGGGCATCTGTGCAACATGTGTGGGGAACGTACGCAGATTCTCTTTTCACAGCTGGCGGGCGCGAGTTGATCGTTGAAGATGCAGGTTGTGGTTGCACATCCCCTACCTCCGTGATGCTTTCCCCGTCCGGCTTTCAAGCCCCGGCTCCTGCACATCGCCGCGCTGGGCAGTTTCGACGTGTGCCTAGGTTCGCGTACTATCATGTCCAGAAACTCTCCTGGAGCGGGTTCGGTGTGCGTCCCTTTGAGATCGTGCCGCCGCACTTGGCCCGGTGCCACCCACCAGCCGACACTGCAGCATCTGGCCATGCTTGCATCAACGAGCTCCAACGCGAGCCATGCGCCAGCAGAGTGCGGAAGTGATCGGTGGCGTGCGTGAGGTGCGGCACCGCTCGCTCACGGAGACGCTGTGACGAATGAGGCTTCATGTCTCCAGGTGCCACACAGGTGTTGAGGCAACACATGCAGCTGCATTCTGCAGCCGAGACATTGGGGGTCCTCGATGGGCCACGTAGAGGCCGCCGAAGGACCCACAAACTTTGCCTCGTGGGAAGTCTGCCGGGTGGTCGAATGCTCGTCGAAAGGCGCTGATTTGTGGACGACCCTTCACAGGAAAGATGAGGACGAAACTCTTGTCACGCCAGTCGCAGCCGCAAGGTCATTGAGTTCAGTGCACCGCCGTCGCCCTCGATGTCCGAGACTTTTTCTGCAGTGCCAGCACATCACCTGATGCAGGAAGGCCGTCCGCAGTTTCTGTGCCAGCGAGGCAGCAGCGCGAGCGGGTGATTAGCAGTTTACTTGATTGCGGATCGGACGACGGTCCTCTTTTCACGGCTTTGGAGCACAAAGGTGTTCTCTGAAGATGCAGGTTGTTGCTACACATCCCCTAACCCTTCGCCCGTCGGGCGTTCAAGCCCCGGCTCCTGCACATCGCCCCACTGCCCAATTTCGACTTGCACCTGGGTTCGAGTACTATCATGTCCTCAAGGCTTTCCTGGAGCACGTTCGGTGCATGCCCATCTGAGAGCGGGCAGTCACTCTCGGCCTTGTTCTACTCCGGCACCATACGCCAGAGCATCTCGGCATTCTTGCAGCAGCGTGCTCCAGCATAAGCGAGCCAGCACAGTGAGAAGGGTACGGGCCTGATGCATATGCACGTTGTCGACAATCGCGCTTGCGGCACATGATCTGCTGGCAGCGGAGCATCTGTGCAACATGTGTGTGGAACGTACGCAGCTCCTCTTTGCACAGCTGGCGGATGCGAAGTTGATCGTTGAAGATGCAGGTTGCTGCTGCACATCCCCTGGCCCTGTGGCCCTTCACCCGTCCGGCTTTCAAGCCCCGGCTCCTGAACATCGCCGCACTGCGCAGTCTCCACTTGCACCTATGTTCGGATGCTGTCATGTCCCCAAGTCTTATCGGGAGCGCTCGGTGCGTGTGGCAGTAGCAGTTGGCCCTGTGCCACCCCGACACCATCCGGCACCGCAGCATCTGGCCTTTCTTGCAGCAACGAGCTCCGATACGAGTGAACCGCGGCACAAGACACTCACGGAGACTTTGGCCCCCTTGCAGGAACGTTCACCACCAGCACGAGCAAGCCAGCACAGTGAGAAGGTGATCCGTGATATGCATGCGCTGCGGCACAGGACACTCCGGGAGACACTGTGACGAATGAGGCTTGATGTCGCTGTGTGCCCGGGTGCCCAGCAGATCCAACCACGCCATGCTCCAGTTGTGTTGAGCAGCAACAGAGCGGGGTCGTCCTGTTTTGCTCGAGGCCATTTCCTCGAGGCCCGGCTGTGGGCAGTAGGTGCAGTGCGTTCGGCACACCAGTGCAAGCATTCAGGGGACTGCGCTTGATGAGCGCTCGTGCTGGCAGCGCACGCCGCGCACCTGTCGCCGCAGGGCATCGGGTGCTGCACAGGGAGAGCGAAGACGGTGCCCAGTACGGTGCCGCACCCAGCTCTTTGAGCAGGAAATTTTGCTGGAGGCCAATTTTCCGAGGCCCAGCGGTGGGCAGTAGGTGTAGCGTGTTTGGACGTCCCTTGTTGTGCACAGATCTCGATCGATCTTGCCACTCCTGCTCGAAGAGTGTTGGCCACCCTGCAGTGTGAGATGGTGCGAGAGTGGCCGCCCACAGAGAGCGGCTGCGGCCGTCTGGAATCGCGAGTGCTCCTGGCTCCTTACTGAGTTGCTCACACTGCGAGGTTGTGAAGTCGAACGTTGCTGCGCTGCCCGCCTCGGCGTCTGCAGCAACCAGCCACGCTTCCAGCGCAAGGCTGGACCTGGCCACTGTGGCGGCTGCGCCTGATGCCGCCTGATGGCTCTGTGCGGACGCTGGAGATGCAACGCTCCGGAGCTGTTGGAGCCAAGTGAACGCAACAATCTTGCGATGACCCGCCTGCCTGCCTAGCTTCACTTTGCGGACAGCTGCAGCTCGTGATGGGAGGCATCCCTTACCGTGCCAGATGCTTGCCAGCTCTCTCTGCCAACTTGCAATCTTTCGTTGACTTCCCAATTGCCAAGCTCGCGTGCACACTGGCTGAAGCAGACTTGGCATCGGTCTCTAGTGAGATCCAGCTGAGCATGACGCGATGTTGGCTCTTTGCTCAAGAAGCCGCGGCGGAGCTGTGGCGTTCTCTTTGCGTGCAGACTCGCCGCGTGTCGGGTCAACCTGGCGCGAGGGCTTTGTGCTGCAGGAGCGGAAGCCGCAGGGTGCCGCAGCAGGGTCCACGTCAGCCCCCCGGTTTGTAGGCGCCTGGTAGCGGACAGAGGGATGCCTTGAAATGACATGCAGACGTGGGTGGCTCTGCTCGCCTGAGAGGGCAAGGGGCTGCTTTCTGAGAGGCCACGTGCCGGACCCGTTTGCTTTCGCATGCTGCTGCGTCTGCTAGACTGAGGGTTGCTCCGTGCTCAGCCAGGTGCCCTGCGGGCAATGCAGGCACATCACGGCCAACCCCAGCTTTCCTCATCAAGGACCAGCAAGCTTGTTCACAGGCGCAAAGCGTTTGTGGGGAGTGCGTCAAGTGCACAAAATTTTTCAGATCACGCAGCTGCTCTCGGCTTTGCTGCCATCCCGGCGCCATCCGGCACCACGCAAACTGTCCAATCCTGCAGCAACGTGCTCCAGCGCAGGCGAGCCGCCAGCCAGCAGTGAGAGGGTGATCCGAAGTATGCGTGAGGTGCGGCACCGCGCGCTCACGGAGACGCTGTGACGACTGAGGCGTCATGTCTCCAGGTGATGTCCAGCATGCAAAAAGGAGCGGCCTGCCCAAAAGCTGCCCTCTTAAGGCTAAGCCCGAGCTCCTTTCCCACGACGGGGTCCTGGTGCATATGCACGCTTTCGCCAAGCAGGCTTGCGGCACATGATCTGATGGCAGCGGGGCATCTGGGCAACATGTGTGTGGAACGTCCGCAGCTCCTCTTTCCACAGCTGGCAGACGCGAAGTTGATCGTTGAAGATGCAGGTTGCTGCTGCACATCTCCTAGCCCTGTGGCCCTTCACGCCTCGGGCGTTAAAGCCACGGCTCCTGCACACCACCGCGCTGTGAAAACTTGCAGCTATGTTCGCATGCTGTCACGTGCATTCGGGACCATGCGCCTCGTGTTGAGCGGCAGATCTCCGAGCTGTCTGCTGCAGAGTCAACGACTTTTCCAGCATGAAAACGAAGCGGCCGGCCCCAACAGCTGCTCTCGTTGGGCTATGCGCAGGATCCTTGCGACCCAGTCTGTCTTGGTACGTGCGTGGTTTTCGCCAAGCACACTTGCGGCACATGGTTTGATTGGCCAAGGCCCAGGGCATCTGAGGAACATGTGTGTGGAACAGACGCAGCGCCTCTTTTCACAGTTGGAGGGCGCAAAGTTGATCGCTGAAGATGCAGGTTGCTGCTGCACATCCCCTATCTCCGTGACGTTTCCCCCATCGGGCGTTCAAGCCCCGGTTCCTGCACATCGCCGCATTGCGCAATCCCGACTTGCACCTATGTTCGGATGCTGTTCTGTCCCCAAGTCTTGTCGGGAGCGCGCTCAAGTGCAAGCCCCGGGTGGCACAGGGCACCATCTGGCACCGCAGCATCTGGCCATGCTTGCGGCAACGAGCTCCAACACGAGCCAGCATGCGCCAGCATGCAAGCAGGATCAGCACGAGCAGCACTTCAAACAGCTGCTCTGTTGAAGCTAAGTTGCGATCCGGTCGGTGTTGGTTGATCGCTGAAGATGCAGGTTGCTGCTGCAAATCCCCTATCTCCGTGATGCTTCCCCCATCGGGCGTTCAAGCCCCGGCTCCTGCACATCGCCGCGCTGGGCAGTTTCGACTTGCGCCTAGGTTCGCGTGCTATCATTTACCAAAGCTCTTTCTTGGAGCGCGTTCGGTAAGTGCTCTGAGATCCTCCCCGACACCATCCGGTACTGCAGCATCCGGCCATTCTTGCAGGAACGTTCTCCACCAGCACGAGCAAGCCAGCACAGTGAGAAGGTGATCCGTGATATGCATGCGCTGCGGCACAGGACACTCCGGGAGACACTGTGACGAATGAGGCTTGATGTCGCTGTGTGCCCAGCTGCCCAGCAGATCCAACCACGCCATGCTCCAGTTGTGTTGAGCAGCAACAGAGCGGGGTCGTCCTGTTTTGCTCGAGGCCATTTCCTCGAGGCCCGGCTGTGGGCAGTAGGTGCAGTGCGTTCGGCACACCAGTGCAAGCATTCAGAGGACTGCGCTTGATGAGCGCTCGTGCTGGCAGCGCACGCCGCGCACCTGTCGCCGCAGGGCATCGGGTGCTGCACAGGGAGAGCGAAGACGGTGCCCAGTACGGTGCGGCACCCAGCTCTTTGAGCAGGAAATTTTGCTGGAGGCCAATTTTCCGAGGCCCAGCGGTGGGCAGTAGGTGTAGCGTGTTTGGACGTCCCTTGTTGTGCACAGATCTCGATCGATCTTGCCACTCCTGCTCGAAGAGTGTTGGCCACCCTGCAGTGTGAGATGGTGCGAGAGTGGCCGCCCACAGAGAGCGGCTGCGGCCGTCTGGAATCGCGAGTGCTCCTGGCTCCTTACTGAGTTGCTCACACTGCGAGGTTGTGAAGTCGAACGTTGCTGCGCTGCCCGCCTCGGCGTCTGCAGCAACCAGCCACGCTTCCAGCGCAAGGCTGGACCTGGCCACTGTGGCGGCTGCGCCTGATGCCGCCTGATGGCTCTGTGCGGACGCTGGAGATGCAACGCTCCGGAGCTGTTGGAGCCAAGTGAACGCAACAATCTTGCGATGACCCGCCTGCCTGCCTAGCTTCACTTTGCGGACAGCTGCAGCTCGTGATGGGAGGCATCCCTTACCGTGCCAGATGCTTGCCAGCTCTCTCTGCCAACTTGCAATCTTTCGTTGACTTCCCAATTGCCAAGCTCGCGTGCACACTGGCTGAAGCAGACTTGGCATCGGTCTCTAGTGAGATCCAGCTGAGCATGACGCGATGTTGGCTCTTTGCTCAAGAAGCCGCGGCGGAGCTGTGGCGTTCTCTTTGCGTGCCGACTCGCCGCGTGTCGGGTCAACCTGGCGCGAGGGCTTTGTGCTGCAGGAGCGGAAGCCGCAGGGTGCCGCAGCAGGGTCCACGTCAGCCCCCCGGTTTGTAGGCGCCTGGTAGCGGACAGAGGGATGCCTTGAAATGACATGCAGACGTGGGTGGCTCTGCTCGCCTGAGAGGGCAAGGGGCTGCTTTCTGAGAGGCCACGTGCCGGACCCGTTTGCTTTCGCGTGCTGGCGGTGTCTGCTAGACTGCGGCTTGCTCCGTCCTCAGCCAGGCAGTGCCCTCAGGGCAACGCAGGCACATCACGGCCAACCCCAGCTTTCCTCGTCAAGGACCAGCAAGCTTGTTCACAGGCGCAAAGCGTTTGTGGGGAGTGCGTCAAGTGCACAAAATTTTCAGATCACGCAGCTGCTCTCGGCTTTGCTGCCATCCCGGCGCCATCCGGCACCACGCAAACTGTCCAATCCTGCAGCAACGTGCTCCAGCGCAGGCGAGCCGCCAGCCAGCAGTGAGAGGGTGATCCGAAGTATGCGTGAGGTGCGGCACCGCGCGCTCACGGAGACGCTGTGACGACTGAGGCGTCATGTCTGCAGGTGATGTCCAGCATGCAAAAAGGAGCGGCCTGCCCAAAAGCTGCCCTCTTAAGGCTAAGCCCGAGCTCCTTTCCCACGACGGGGTCCTGGTGCATATGCACGCTTTCGCCAAGCAGGCTTGCGGCACATGATCTGATGGCAGCAGGGCATCTGAGCAACATGTGTGGGGAACGTACGCAGATTCTCTTTTCACAGCTGGCGGACGCGAAATTGATCGTTGAAGATGCAGGTTGCTGCTGCAAATCCCCTATCTCCGTGATGCTTTCCCCCATCGGGCGTTCAAACCCCGGCTCCTGCACATCGCCGCGCTGGGCAGTTTCGACTTGCGCCTAGGTTCGCGTGCTATCATTTACCAAAGCTCTTTCTTGGAGCGCGTTCGGTGGGTGCTCTGAGATCCTCCCCGACACCATCCGGCACCGCAGCATCTGGCCATTCTTGCATGAACGTTCTCCAGCACGAGCAAGCCAGCACAGTGAGAGCGTGATGTGCAACATATGTGTGGAACGCACGCAGCTCCTCTTTCCACAGCTAGCAGGCACGAAGGTGATCGCTGAAGATGCAGGTTGTTGCTGCACATCCCCTAGCCCCAGCCATGTGGCCCTTCACGCCCGCGTTCAAGCCACGGCTCCTGCACATCGCTGTGTGTGAAAACTTGCAGCTATGTTCGCATGCTGTCACGTGCATTCGGGACCATGCGCCTCGTGTTGAGCGGCAGATCTCCGAGCTGTCTGCTGCAGAGTCAACGACTTTTCCAGCATGAAAACGAAGCGGCCGGCCCCAACAGCTGCTCTCGTTGGGCTATGCGCAGGATCCTTGCGACCCAGTCCGTGTTGGTACCTGCCTGGTGCATGCACGCTTTCGCCAAGCACGCTTGCGGCACATGATCTGATGGCAGAGGGGCATCTGAGCAACATGTGGGTGGAACGTCCGCAGCTTCTCTTTCCACAGCTGGCGGGCGCAAAGGTGATCGCTGAAGACGCAGGCTGCTGCTGCACATCCGCTGGCCCTGTGGCCCTTCACCCGTCGGGCGTTCAAGTTCCGGCTCCTGCACATCGCGGTGACTTGCGCCTCCTGCTGCCTTTCTCGCAATGTTCGTGTGCGGTGATGACCCCAAAGTCTTTCCGAGTGCGCCTTCGATGCGCCCTCTGAGATCGTTCAACGGCATTTGCTTCAATGCCAACCTCAGCAGCATCTCTGAGCCCGTTGATGTCAGATCGAGTTGCTCGCACCTCCGGCTGAGTCACTGGGTTGACAGTCATTGGCATGTTAGCGCTGCAGAGGTGCCTCCCAAGTTACAATCCTGGTGAGTGGTCTGCTAGACAACTGCTTGATAGCTCCCCGGCCAACACACATCCAAGTGGCGCATCCATGTCCCAAAGAAAGGATCCATCTGAAGCATTCGGTAGCGGGCCCAGGGCCCCGCACGGTTCACATTCCATCTTGCGCCCATCTCTGCTGAAGTCGTGTTCTGCCCTCTGAGTCAAAATCAACAGTCACGTTAAACCCGCGACGTGAGGAGTTGTCTAGGGGTGTCTGTTCTCTGGTGGTCTCAACAGAGCCCCACAGAAGCCGCAAGGGAGGCTTAGGCAGGGGATTTCGACATAGGGCTTTGGCAACGATTCTTGTGTTTGTATTGCTATCATGCCAGGCTCGCAGCCACATGCGGGCAGATATTCAAGACATCACCACACAAGGCCGCCGAGATTGAGCGAGTCTCGATCACCGCCGACCTGCTGGACTGTGGACCTGTGCAAGTGCACCTCGCTGCTTCGAAAGAGCTGCCACGTGATCACCCGGTCGCGAGCGCCGTGAACCAACAACGCAGGTGTGCGGGCTGGCATTTGAGGTGGCGCGAGTTGCACGGAGCCAGCGGTGTGGATGCTGATGCCAACTGGGTCGTCTCTGTGACCTGCTCCCCGATACTCGCCTTCGACTTGCTTCGTGGGGATTGTGCGCAGAAGCCACGCACCTGCCTGGACTGCTCTTGGGCATCCGCCTTTCGCAGCGCAATGCTGCGTCAACCGCCTTGCAGCGCGCACACGGAACACACAGCTGCCTTCGTGTGCTACTTGTCCGTGGACGAAGGGTCGGCAAGGGTGACGAACTGTAGGCAGCGAAGGCCTATTGCGCGCCAGATCGTTGAGCTTGCGGCAGAGTGAAACCAGAGGACCAGGCGCTTTAAATGGGTGTGACTAGGGCTTAGGGCCCGTTCAAGCACGCTCCGTGTTGCGCCCGTCACTTTCTGTATGCAAGGCTCTCACGCGTCTGAGGTGATGCACTTGCCCTGCAAGTAGTAACATGATTGATTAGGCTCCGCGTGCCATTCCGCACGAGGCTGCGTCAAGCGCGTTACATGCACGCCAGAGATTTTGGAGGTCCTCACGGCAACGTCGTCGGCTTCCTTATAGCTTGCAGTCAGAATTTTTGCCCAACATTCCAAGCCGACAGCAGCTTGCAGTGCTTGCTAGACTGCGGCTCAGCGATGAGGCAGGGAAATATGATTCACCCGGCACAGCGCGGCATCGCGGCATCGTCCGTGTGTCACTCGGCCGCAGGCGCAGCGATGATCAGACGCTGTCGTGGCATGCGTACTCAGTGCACCCTCTGAGATCCTGCCATCGCACTTGGCATTGGCTGCGTCAAGCGCGTTACATGCACGCCAGAGATTTTGGAGGTCCTCGCGGTATCGTCGTCGGCTTCCTTATAGCTTGCAGTCATAATTTTTGCCCAACATTCCAAGCCGACAGCAGCTTGCAGTGCTTGCTAGACTGCGGCTCAGCGATGAGGCAGGGAAATATGATTCACCCGGCACAGCGCGGCATCGCGGCATCGTCCGTGTGTCACTCGGCCGCAGGCGCAGCGATGATCAGACGCTGTCGTGGCATGCGTACTCAGTGCACCCTCTGAGATCCTGCCATCGCACTTGGCATTGGCTGCGTCAAGCGCGTTACATGCACGCCAGAGATTTTGGAGGTCCTCGCGGTATCGTCGTCGGCTTCCTTATAGCTTGCAGTCAGAATTTTTGCCCAACATTCCAAGCCGACAGCAGCTTGCAGTGCTTGCTAGACTGCGGCTCAGCGATGAGGCAGGGAAATATGATTCACCCGGCACAGCGCGGCATCGCGGCATCGTCCGTGCGTCACTCGGCCGCAGGCGCAGCGATGATCAGACGCTGTCGTGGCATGCGTACTCAGTGCACCCTCTGAGATCCTGCCATCGCACTTGGCATTCTGCCGCTCCGGCACATGGATGCAAGCATCTCATCTGGGCCCTGCGACCTGGACGCGCAGATGCAGCACGAGCGAACATGATCGATCCAGAGGCGGTCTGCGAGTTGCATGCGGTGCTTGCATCGCAACATCAAACAGAAAGTTGCAGCGCTCGGGTGCTGGAGGTTTTAGCAGCCACAACGAGTTTTTGCTGCCAGGCAGCCCACCATGCTTGGCGAGAAGATGCGCCCCTGTGTCCTTGAGCAAGCCTCATAAGACTCAAGGGCCTGCAAGGCTCTCGAAAAGTGCGTGCTGAGGCCTTTGAGATCGTTCCAGTCTGCCTCACCGTCACTTGGAATCAAGCACCTCATCTGGTGCCAGCGATCCGGGCGGGTAGACAAAGAAAGCCCGAGCGAACATGAGCGAACCGGAGGTGGTCTCCGAATTGCACGAGCTGCTTGCGTCCTGAAGTCCGCGCGATGTATGCGCAAAAGGATCTTACGCTGTCGCGGCCACAAAGCTCTTCGGGAGCGCGTGCGCCAACTTCTGAGGTTGTGCAATCACACTCACACTTGGCGTTCCACGGCTCCTGCGCTTGAATCCAAGCACCCCATCTGGGCGGGCAGTCGCCGTGCAAGTGAAGGTGAGCGAAGCAGAGGTGGTCTCCGAGTTGCACGGGCTGCTCGCAGCAACGCCGTCTGCTTCCTCAGCTTGCAGGAAGTGGACTACGCCAACAGAAAGCACCTGCGGCTTGCTGGCTGGACTACCGCTCGGCACTCCGGCCGCCAGTGTGCTGTGCCTGGCGAATTTGTGGCGGCACTTGGATGCAAGCACAACATATGGTCCCTGCCATCTGGGCGGGTAAACGCAGCACGAGCGAACAAGATCGAACTGGAGGTGATCTCCGAGTTGCAAAGGTTGCTCGCAGCCCTACGCCAAACGCAAGATAGCTGCAGTGCTTGCTAGATCGGGGCTTGCTCAGCAATCAGGCAGGCAATTTGCGCACCTGGCACACTGTCGCATCGCCCCTGTGCCCTTAAGTCCATTCAGAATCGACCATTGTGGTGACTGCAAGATTGTTGGGGAGCGCAGGCGGTGCTCCACTAGCCGAGGCCCTCTGAGATCGTGCCAGTGCACTTGGCATTCTGCCTCACCGGCACGCGGACGCAAGCACCTCATCTGGTCCCTGCCATCTGGACGGGTAAACGCAGCACGAGCGAACATGAGCGAACTGGAGGTGATCTCCGAGTTGCAAAGGTTGCTCGCAGCCCTACGCCAAACGCAAGATAGCTGCAGTGCTTGCTAGATCGGGGCTTGCTCAGCACTCAGGCAGGCAATTTGCGCACCTGGCACATTGTCGCATCGTCCCTGTGCCCTTAAGTCCATTAAGAATCGACCACTGTGGTGACTGCAAGATTGTTGGGGAGCGCAGGCGGTGCTCCACTAGCCGAGGCCCTCTGAGATCGTGCCAGTGCACTTGGCATTCTGCCTCACCGGCACGCGGACGCAAGCACCTCATCTGGTCCCTGCCATCTGGACGGGTAAACGCAGCACGAGCGAACATGAGCGAACTGGAGGTGATCTCCGAGTTGCAAAGGTTGCTCGCAGCCCTACGCCAAACGCAAGATAGCTGCAGTGCTTGCTAGATCGGGGCTTGCTCAGCACTCAGGCAGGCAATTTGCGCACCTGGCACATTGTCGCATCGTCCCTGTGCCCTTAAGTCCATTAAGAATCGACCACTGTGGTGACTGCAAGATTGTTGGGGAGCGCAGGCGGTGCTCCACTAGCCGAGGCCCTCTGAGATCGTGCCAGTGCACTTGGCATTCTGCCTCACCGGCACGCGAACACAAGCACGTCATCTGGTCCCTGCCATCTGGACGGGTAGAGGCAGCACAAGCGAACAAGATCGAACCGGAAGTGGCTTCCGAGTTGCACGGGCTGCTTGCAGCCCTACGCCGGACAGAAGGCAGTTGCAGTGCTTGCTAGATCGGGGTTTGCTCAGCGCTCAGGCATTCGGGCATCACCTCCATGTCCGCCGTGTGCTGTGCAAGTCTTGGGCAGTACATTGCCTTCCACAATGGCACGCTGTCATCACATGGCGAGGTTTGAGGCCAGCATGCTGCGGTTTGAGAGACTTCTCAGGAGGTTTTGGCACAGTAGGTGCTCTTAAGAGAGCAAGCCATGAGTTTGCCAGGGGCGCCTGCCAGGTCTGCAATGGTGGGGACCTGACGTCAGGGTCAGGCGTGTCAGGCGTGTCAGGCGTGTCAGGCATGCTCGCATGATATGCGGTGAAGGCGACTTTTGAGGCACCTCCTCGACCACAAGCGGCAGAAACGGCCCCGAGCGTTTCGAATCGTCATCCCCCCTATCACTCCTGCCATCACTGCCATCGCTGCAGCACTACCTCTTTAGTTGGTGGGTTCCAGGGAAGGCTCGCCAGAGCCGGCGCCCGTGCCAGTGTTACAAGTGTTGTCAATGAGTGGTCGAGCCGCCGGTGCTTGGCGATGTACTGGGTTGTGCTGTGTTTGTCTGGTGGTTGCCAATGTGGTTGCCAATGTGTGGGGGTGCCACTGAGTCGCATTGTGCACAGCCATGGGTTGACCCTGAGGGCTTGTCAGGATCAGTGCAGTCTAGGGCGCACGCTGAGAGGCTCGGAGCTCAGGGTCGGTTGCTCCGACGGCTCTCCCTTGCCCGTTGTCCCCTGATGCCTTCAGAATTTCACTTAGCCACAGATGGCGGATGGGTAGCCAGCTTGTCGCAAGTCGCTTGCCAGGGCAACGAATGAACTGAAGCCGGGGATCAGCTTCGTCTGCCCCCGTCAGCTTTGTAAGCCCTCTCGGCTCGGAATTCAAGCTCTGAGAGCATCTGCTAGGCACTATAGGTCTATGGGTCTATAGGTGAAGGTGGACGGTGCAGGAACGTGCTGGACTTCGCAATTCGAGGCACCTGCGTGCCCTTTTGACAATCATTGGCATGGAGCAAAGGTCCCGCCCACATGGCCCCTGTCTGCTATAGACAATGGGCTTTGTGACAAAATACATGGCTTGATGTCAAGCAATTGCCAGGGCAGAGGGCAGCAGACAAATCTCCAGCTGAAATCGGTTCGCTGCGAGTTGAAAGGCCGGCCCCGGGCCTCCAGGCCGCTGAGCCTCTGAGCCCTGTTCGAGCATGAAAGTTCCGCGTGCTCCATCTTGAGCCCCCCCCCCATCCATTCCCTCTGAGGTCATCGTAAGTCCTGTTCTCCCCGTGCGTGTGAGGCGAAGAAACACCCCAACCAGGAACATTGCTGACTGGGCTCCTCGGGCCGACCTCCTCATGGCCTTGAGGCCCTTTTGCTGGTATTGCTATCGTGCCATGCTCTCAGCCACTTCATGCGCTGGGCAGATATTCGAGGAAGTGGTCGCCGCGAAAGGCCCCAAGTTCTACTGGGCGTACTGCCCGCGCAACCTGTGCCAAGAAGGATGTCATGTTGGTGCAGCCGAGTCCTCTGAACAAGTTGTAAGTGCACCTCACTGCTTCGAAAGAGCTGCCACGTGATCACCCGGTCGCGAGCGCCGTGAACCAACAACGCAGGTGTGCGGGCTGGCATTTGAGGTGGCGCGAGTTGCACGGAGCCAGCGGTGTGGATGCTGATGCCAGCTGGGTCGTCCCTGTGACCTGCACCCCAATGCTCGCCTTCGACTTGCTTCGTGGGGATTGCGCGCAGAAGCCACGCACCTGCCTGGACTGCTCTTGGGCATCCGCCTTTCGCCGGAACACACAGCTGCCTTCGTGTGCTGCTTGTCCGTGGACGAAGGGTCGGCAAGCGTGACGACCTGTAGGCAGCGAAGGCCTATTGCGCGCCAGATCGTTGAGCTTGCGGCAGAGTGAAACCAGAGGACCAGGCACTTTAAATGGGTGTGACTAGGGCTTAGGGCCCGTTCAAGCACGCTCCGTGTTGCGCCCGTCACTTTCTGGTGAAGTTGATGCAAGGCTCTCACGCGTCTGAGGTGATGCGCGTGCCCTGCAAGTAGTAACATGATGGATTAGGCTCCGCATGGCATGCCGCACGAGGCTGTGTCAAGCGCGTTACATGCACGCCAGAGATCTTCGAGGGTCTCGCAGCAACGTCGTCGGCTTCCTTATAGCTTGCAGTCATACTTTTTGCCAAACATTCCAAGCCGACAGCAGCTTGCAGTGCTTGCTAGACTGCGAGTCAGCGATGAGGCAGGGCAACATGATTCACCCGGCACATCGCGGCATCGTCTGTCACTCGGCCGCAGGCGCAGCGATGATCAGACGCTGTCGTGGCACGCGTACTCAATGCACCCTCTGAGATCGTGCCATGGCACTTGACATTCTGCCGCGCCGGCACGTGGATGCAAGCATCTCCTCTGGGGGCGTGCGAACACAGCACGAGCCTAGCATGGGCTCGGGTCTTCTGCGCTGTGGCCAGACTCAAGTCGCCGATATAGATGCATCGCAAAAGCAGGAAGCGGACGCCTAGGCACGCCGCTCTGCAACGCAAGGCTGCTTCTCTTAGTTTCCGGATCCTTGCTGGACCATGCTTGAACAACCCAGTTTCCTTGAATCTACTTTCGTTGGCTTCGGCTGCCAGCGTGCCCTGAACTTGGGTGGCATAAGATGTGCCACGGAGAATCTGGCGACGAGCCTGAGAAGCCGTCTGCACAAGTTGATTCTCAAGCACAGCAGTACATAGGACGTTGTCACGAAGCCCTTGGTTCTTCTCACTTGACACGCTCCGGCGCAACTCTCTCCAAGGCGGTTTCGAGTCATCGATATAGGTGCATCGCAAATTCTGCAGGGCTCCAACGCCCAGGCACGCCTGTTGCAGACCGGCTTGTCTTAGTTTCCGGGTCCTTGCTGGACCATGCTTGAACAACCCAATTTCCTTGAATCTACTTTCGTTGGCTTCGGCTGCCAGCGTGCCCTGAGCTTGGGTGGCATAAGATGTGCCACGGAGAATCTGGCGACGAGCCTGAGAAGCCGTCTGCACAAGTTGATTCTCAAGCACAGCAGTACATAGGACGTTGTCACGAAGCCCTTGGTTCTTCTCACTTGACATGCTACGGCGCAACTCTCTGCAAGGCGGATTCGAGTCATCGATATAGATGCATCGCAACAACTACAAGGCCCGGACGCCCGGGCCGGCCGCAACGAGCCCTGAATTTGGGTGGCGTGAGACCGGCTGCAGAGAAGCTTGCGACGCGCAGCTGAGAAGCTGTCTTCACAAGGTCATTCTTAAGTACTACGGAGCTCGCAAGCTACCTTTGGCTGCTTTCTGAACACAAGCATAAGCAGCATAAGTCAGTCACATGCACAGGTAGATCTCGATTGCCCGAGGAGTGTGGGCTAGCGGCTTGGGGTTCCTTGCTTGCCGGACCGACTGCATTTGGGCAGGCATGTTGGCCTTCCCGTGGCCCGTGAAGAGTGGGATGGGGATGTGACGGCCTCAGAAGCTAGGCGCCAGAGTGAGCAGGCCATCTGGAATCATGCGCGGCGCAGCCCTCTGATTGAGGCGATTTGACGAAGGAGGCCTGATGTTGCTCCGGGTGTCTGAGGCCATTGTTCTCTGTGCAGTGCGGGCTAAGGTCAGGCCATGTCGCGTGCGGTCCGCAGTGGTCCTTGGGCTCCTATCAAAACCATACTTTGGCATGGAAAGACACGGCTTAGAATGGGCCGAGCTCTCTCCTTTGCCTATCACTACCTAACTCGGTTCAAGCCGCCGGTGAGCCCGCGAAAGATGGACAACACCACGCCGTCCATGGCCAAACGCCGAAGTCTCTCCCAGCCGTCTGCCAGGTAGATCCAGGCAAGCATCAGTCTGGAAAATTGCTCTTTCGGGACGCGGAGATGCCTGCGAGAGGGCTGAGAGACCAAACCATCTGGACCATCTGGGGTCGGCCTGGGTCGCACCACGCTCTCTTTGAGACGCTTTGACGAATCAGGGCAACTTGATGTCGTTTTCCAGAAATTTCCCCACTTCCCCCACTTCATCCTTGAGCCCCTGAGCACCAGATCTCCGAGCTCGCAGAGTTGTTGGCCCAGCCCTCCAAATGACAGCTCACTGCGTCAGACGACGGGCATCTTGCTCACAGACTGTCACAGGTCCAACTTCAGGTGCTTCGTAGAACAGCAGTTGCAGGTGAGCGGTGCTTCGTAGACTGCGCCCTGCTCGGCGCTCGGGCAAGCTGGCAAAGCCCCGTGCTCCGGGAACCTGAAGGAATCCGTAGCGTCCTGCGTCCGTTGCCAGATCAACGCGCAATCAAGAGCGTTCGTGCCACAAGGTTCTTCCGGGGCTCCTTGCGCGAGCTGCAAGCTGGGTCCTAGCTCTGAGCGAGGTCGGAATGGTGGTGAGATCCGGCTGGAGTTCGACCGGAACACCCTTGGAGTGTGTCGGAGTGTCAGTGTCAGTTGCAAAGCCGTCGGCAGGGCCCCGTGCCATGGGGATGCTAAGGCCCGCCTTGACCAGCTGACAAGCGTCATGGTGATCGCTGAAGATGTGGGCTGCTTCTCATCCCCAATTTCTGCGGCTCTATTTGCCGCTTAACGAGATGCCCTGCCCCAAATCATGCTTGAAAAGGCATGTGGACACCACTTGAAGATCTTACCAAAAACAGCCCTCTTTAACAAAAAGGTTTGCGACGTTTTCAGCTCTTGCTGCCATTGCATCGTAGGCCCTACCTGCATCATTCGTACGTTCCACTCAAGGGCTCATGAGGCGATGGATGGCCTGAAGGCCAGATGTCACCCAAGCAGTCTGTAGTGACTGCGGTGGCCCCAATGAGAAGGATCACTCGCACAGTCTCGGGCTTCGATCGCTCGCTTGGCCTCGAGCGCAGCATCTCGGAGGCGGATGCCGCGCTCGCTGCCCCTTTCACCATGCGAATCCCGAACCGCGAATCCCCAACTCGGCGTCGCGCTGCCTCGGGATTCATCCCGGTCCCCTAAATCCCTTATGCAAGATTCCGCAGCTTGCTTGGCAAGCCTCGATTCACAAGATGGACATTGAGAAGCCCAGCGGAGCTCATGCTGCCTAGTGGCCGTGTACTGGTCAGAGCAGTTTGGTGCAGCGGAGCTTTCCTCCGAGGCCGGGGGTGTGCCTTGAGAGCTTTTGGAAGCGTGTGTGGGTGCAGATTCGGGTTTAGGTGCGTATGTGGGTGAAGGTGCGGGTACGGGTGTAGGTGAGGGCACGGGACTTTGTGTGAGTGTGAGTGTGGGTGGGGGGATGTAGTAGGAGGTGCTGGGGCACTTCAGCAAAACCATGGACTGTGCATGACTGTAAATGACATTGATCAGACATCGCATGAGATCATCCAACTGTGACGCTCGTTTCGAACCTATTGCCAAGGGAAAGGGACGAGGGGCAAGGGGGGCACCCCCAGAGCCGCGGACGCCAGACGCCAAATCTGAGCCTCAGTCGCCACATCCCCGTGTCCTGAAGCGCCAGTGCGCCTACAGGGGGAGTGGCAGCGCTGCCGGGCGCAAACGTGTACTGCCTCGAGTCAGTAAGCGGATCTAAGCTGGGGGAATCTGAGAGGATGGTGTGGGTGCGGTGCCGGTGGGCGTGGGTCGGGTATGGGTGGCTGGGTGCAGGTGGGGCATGAGTGGTTGTGTGTAGGAGTGGCGCGGGCCAAGCTTGCCTTCGACGAATGAACAGCGCCTAGGGGTTACGGTTGGCACCCGCAGTTTCGAGTGCATGGGGCAGGGGTCCGCGCAGGTTGGCGCGTGATCCGACATGTAGAAGCACAGCTAACCCAGCACAGGGTGCATGATGTTGCCGCCCCTTGGCCCTTCAAATCTGAGACCCCCAAGCTCATAAACCCGAAACCCGAAACCCTAAACCCAAAACCCTAAACCCTAAACCCCAAACCCTAAACCCTAAACCCTAAACCCTAAACCCTAAACCCTAAACCCTAAACCCTAAACCCTAAACCCTAAACCCTAAACCCTAAACCCTAAACCCTATCTAAAGGGCTGTCGCCCACAGCCGGGCACGCCCCGGGCGGAGCAGCCACAACAACAACAACCACAACAACAACCACAACCACAACAACAGCAGCAGCAGCAGCAACAACAACAACCACCACCACCACCACCACCACCGCCACCCCCACCACCACCACCACCACCACCACCACCACCACCACCACCACCACCACCACCACCACCACCACCACCACCACAACCACAACCACAACCACAACCACAACCACAACAAAATCAACAATAACAACCACAAGACCGCGCACGTGCACGCAGCCGTATGTGGGGGCTGCACGTCGAGCGCCATGTTATGGCAGCGTACTTCGAAGTCCTGCCACCCTAAAATCTGCCCCCTACCCCAGAACCCGCTGATGCTGCCGATGCTCGCCCCCCGGATCCCCAAGGAGAAACGAAGCCTCGATAATGCCCCCCGCCCAACCGCGCATCATGAGCATCAGCGGCTCCGGCAACGGAAATGTCCGTAACAGCACGAAAACCGAAAACCACGGTATTTACAGTGTTTTCTGCGTTTTCCAAGCTCTCAGCCGTATCCGAAACCCGAGACCGATGCGCGCTCTTGCGGGGGTCCTTTGGGGTGGCCGATGCTCCCCAAAAAACATCAACAACGCGTCTTCGGCAAAAGTTAAAAATTAGAGTCGATGATGCTGTCCCTGTGGGGCACCCAAAAAATTCGTCCAGGAGCTCAATTTTGGTGGGGAATAGCGCGTTTTTCGCAATAAAAATGTACCTACAACATGATGCTCTTCGGAAGCCTGGAGCCGGATGTTGGCGACCCAACCGGGTCAGCGGCGTATGACGCGCCCCGGGGTAGCTAAAGCTAGGGCTGGCGCCGAACGGCGTCGGACCACGGGCGTGCCCGGATTTCAGGCCTAGCGGCATGGCCCGGCCCCTGCCCCCCAAAACACGAAACCTTGAACCTTGGCACTGTCTTCTCTTTCCCTTTTTCTTTGTCCTTTGTCTTTGTCGCTCTCCTCTCTCTCTCTCTCGCTCTCTCGCGTGGTCTTTTTCTGTCTTTGTTTCTTCCTCTCACTATTCTTCCTCTCTCTACTTGCCTGCTGTTCTTTTTCTCTTTCTTTCTCGTTTTCCTCTCACTTCTCCTGCGCTTCCTTCTTTCATTTTATCTTTCTCTTTCGTTTTTCTTTTCTCTTTCTCTTTCTCTTGCTCTTGCTCTTTCTCTTTCTCTTTTTCTCTTTTTCTCTTTTTCTCTTTCTCTCTTTCTCTCTTTCTCTCTTTCTCTCTTTCTCTTTCTCTTTCTCTTTCTCTCTTTCTCTTTCTCTCTTTCTCTTTCTCTTTTTCTCTTTCTCTCTTTCTCTTTCTCTCTTTCTCTTTCTCTCTTTCTTCTTCTTCTTTTTCCTCTTCTTCTTCTCTTCTTCTCTCCCTCACTTTCTTTCTATCTTTCTCTATTTCTTGCTGTTTCTCTTTCTCTAGAGCTTCCTTTCCATTTATCTTTCTTGCTCTCTTTCTCTCTTTCTCGCTTTCTTTCTTGCTCTCTCTCCCTCTCTCCTTCTCTCCCTTTCCATTTCTTTCTGTCTTTCTCTTTCTCTCTTTCTCTCTTTCTCTCGTTCTCTCTTTCTCCCTTTCTCCCTTTCTCCCTTTCTCCCTCTCTCCCTTCTCTCTCTCTCTCTCTCTCTCTCTTGCTCTCTGTCTCTCTCTCTCTCTCTCTCTCTCTCTCTCTCTCCCTCTCTCTGTTCTCCCTCTCCCCCCCCCCCCCCCCCCCCGCGCGTGCCGCGCGCGCGCGCGCGCACCCGCATCAGGAGCATCAGCTCGGTTGGTTTGGGAGCCCTTAAAACATCCTAAACACGCGTTTTGCCTTCGAAAAACCTTCAGAAAACGCTGTAAGGAAGCCTTTTGGGACCCAGGAAAGGGAGCATCATGAGCATCAGCGGCCTCCCCAGGCCATCCAAAACCCCCCTAAACACGCCATTAGTTATATGTGTTTGAATGCTGGCATGCCCACGAAACACCAAAAAGCAAGACCCCGAATGCCCTCTTGCTTTTCGGGTGTTTTCTGGGCATGAAGCCGTTCCCACACGTAAAATGAGCGGGTTTAAGGGTGTT